CAGGGAAGCACTTATTCCACTGAGCCATCTCCCCTCCCCTTGAGTTTTAAATAGAACTTTTGTTTTGGGTTCTTGTTTTTGTCTTTTTTTTTTTTTCTTTCTTTCTTTCTTTGAGACAGGGTTTCAATATGCAATTCAGGTTGGGCTTGCACTCACTTAAATCAATTTTAGAACATTTGTTACCCCAAAAACAAACCCCATACCAGTTAACTCCCACCCACCAACTCTCCCACCTCTCTCAGTACTCAGCACCTATTAATCTCTTCTCTTATCTCTGTAGATTCCCCATTCTGAGCATTTCATGTCAATGGAATCACATAATACATGGTCTTTTGTGTCTGACTTACTTAGCATGGTATTTCCAAGGCTCATCTGTGCATCAGAACTTCATTCCTTTTTTACCCAATAGCATTTTATTGTGTGGACATAACATATTTTACTGTTTTCATTCATCAGTTGATGGACAGTTCAGTTGTTATAATTCTGGTCAACATAAATAATATTACTATGAGCATTCCTACTCTAGTTCTTGTGTACGAACATTTGCAAGTCTCTTATTTTATTCATAGAAGTGGAATTGTCAATCATATAGTAATGTGTTTAAATTTGTTGAAAGTACAAGACTCTTTCCCACAGTGTCTGTGCCATTCTACATTCACCCCAGAAGTGAGAGACTGCTTTCTCTATATCCTAATCACCTGGGTATAGCGTCTGAAAACTCCAAATGCAGGAGTTTCCCCCCAGTCCTTCACAAAAAGAGAAAGGATCATTGTAAACAGTCCAAAATTAATGTGCTTGAAAAGAAACTTATTGTCATGTTTCATTAAAATTATAAACCAGTAGAAAGTGAGAATTAAAACTTTGCTGCTAAGAAGAACATAAATTGGTACACTTTTCTGAAATGCAAGTGAATAAAGTGTACTCAGAACCTGAAAAATACTTATACTCCTTGGCCCACTAAGTCACTTCTAAGAATCTAGCCTAAAGAAATAGCTACATACCAGCCCTGGGGTATGTCTGTAATTCCAGCACACTGGAAGACTGAGTCAAGAGAATCAGAAGTCAAGCCCAGCCTAGGCAAGTTAACAACTTAGCAAGACCTTGTCTCAAAGGTCTTGAGTCTTTTTGAAAACACTGGAGATGTAGCTCTATGTGAAAAGTGCTACAAAAAAAAAGAAAAGGAAAAGAAAGGGAAAATTTATGATATTATCAATGAATTTCTTTATATGGATATTCAATGCTATTATACATGAAAATGTTTTGGGGTTTTTTTGTTTTTTTTTTTTTTTTTGGGAGTGGTGACCAGAATCAAACTCAGGACCTCACACTTAATAGGCAAATCCCCCACTCCTAATTGAAAAAATTGGATGCAGCCTGAATTTCCAACAAGTAAAGATTAACAAAATTATAATATTTAAAGAATAAAATAGGGTCATTAAAGATGTCTTAGAACAAGTTTATATCAAAAAAGTGTTTCCAAAGAAAATTAAGTAACAAAAGCATACAATATAATCACAAATATATGCATTAGAGGCCAGAGAGATACCTCAGTAGAATAAGCGCTTGCCTGGAAAGCACAGGGTCCTGAGTTCAATCCCTGCTACTGCAAGAAA